AAAACCGTCTGTTAATCTTTTCACTGTTCCAACAATCACCAACTCTGGTTTGTGTTTCAAAGAACGACTGAATAAGTAAACAGATATAAAAAGAAGTAACCACTGTAACAGTTTCACTGTTTACTCACCCTGTTTTCCGGCGAGTTCATGACGTCGAACATGACGCACCAGACCAAAAAATAGAAAGGCATACACGTCTACAGGCAATCTGTAGGAGTCCATTGCCTATTTTTAGCAGACTTTCCTGGTTAAAAAAACCCACATATATACATGCTAATTTTGGTGGGAAAAAGGTTAGACCTTAGATGAACCCACTGGATACGCTACTGAGCAGCAGAAAAAGGTTGAAGTCAAACATCTGGCTTAACAGCAATTGGTGGAGAACAAAAACAGAGCTAACAGGAGAGTGAACTTATATAAAGGTAATCTGTCTGTCTACTTGGTATCGCCAAGTGAAAGAAACAAAAACAATTGATGCACATTTGAAATGGTTGTGTTCAAAAGAAACCCTCAGAGATATGTTTTTTAGAAAAGACTGTTGAAAGAAAACCCTTTCTGATAAAATCCACACGTGAGATCAAACTGCTCTTCGGGGGCTGCGTCTCCTCTGGGTGTCTTCATGGCTAATGTTGACTTTTCAGACCCCAGAGTCAGATCCTCTGTTTGTTACCCAGGGACATGGTAGCTGTTTATAGGGGCAGATTTATCCCTCCGTCTCCGCAGGGACGGAGAGCTGAGGAGGAAGGAAACGGAGGGGCGGTACCGTGAGAAGAAGCCACTGCAGAAGTGTAATTGGTACCTTTCCTTTTTTAGAAAGCGCTTTCTTACTTACCGAGGTCCAGCAAATGAGTCAGACATGCTTCATAAGCACACTCAGACACTCTCATATGGTTTATCATACTTTCCCTTTGTAGTTTCCACTTTGAAAGGGTTTGAGTTTCTTCCCTTTGTCTTTGATCCTTTGCGTATTAAGCTATGATGCTAGCTACTGGTTACGTGCATGACAAAAGAGCCATCTGGTGAAAATAAAGTGAGAGGTTTTCATTTTGTGAATATGTTATCTTTTGTAGACATTCGTGCTAAAAGGTTTCAGCTAAATGGCGAGCGAGCAGAGGTGTGTGGTCTTTCATTCACTCCCCTACATCTGTTTTCTTCCCCTATCACTTGCCTTAGTTCAGGTGATAACTCCAACGGGCCCGGGAGTCTTCAAAGAGCCGGCGAGGGGGGTAACGTAAAGATGAGAGGAGAAAAGAAAGAAAAGGAGAGATGGAGAAATAGCTGACTCAGACTTTGATAAACATCTTGGCTTAAACTGCAGGTGTGAAGTGAGGGACTCGGAGGTGAGGGCAAGACAGGTGGAGAGGGCTAAAATACCTGTAAACTCACCGCGAAGCTTTTGCATATTCAGCAGTTCAGCCTTCACACGGAACATCCAAGAGTTTAGTTTATGGGTATCACAATCAAACAATAGTGCAAGAAAAGATTCAGTGAGATATGATATGGTGTGTGTATGTGGGAGAATTCTCATACTTCTATCTTTGTGGGGACCATTTGCAGAAACTTCACAGTGAGGACTTTTCCACCGGTGCCCAGTTCTTCAAAGGGCTGTTTGAATTATGAGTGTGTGTGTCTGTGTGTGTGTGCATGCTTTAATGATAGGAGCATAGGAGGGCACTTATTGCAATATCTACCTAAATTAAAATAGAGAAAAAAAGAAATGTAAACTACAACTATCACAAATCCTTTTTGTGAAAGGAAACTCAAGACTACAATTGAATTGTTATAAAATTTAAAATGGTTATATTGCTTCCAGACTCACTAAAACAAATTTGAATGTGGTTGAATATAATAAGGCACATCTAAATGAAAAAATGAATAAAACTGCAATGGAGAGAACGTAGAAAACAAGTAGAAAAAGTTCTATAAATTAGAAGTATTTACTTCAGTTTAGACTTCTTCTATCAATAGATATATTACCCGACAATATAAACTTTACAATTAATGTTTTTTCAAGAAAATGAATGAATTAAAGCAATACTTAACTTACACAATGACCATTTGCATATTCATTACTCATCCTGCTTTCACTTGAATTCTTGAAGAATGCATCGTTTTTCTCTCATGTCTCATGTCGAAGAAACAAATTAAACTAATTTAAGTAAATGGCAGTCGCATTTAAGAACAACTAAACTATATTGAAATAAAATGGCAGCCGGCAATCACAATTTTAATTCAACGTAAGGTAGTTTGTTGATGTGTGTGTATATGCAGAGATTCAGCACCTGGAGCAACAATGGCTTTGAGCAGCTGTGGTGTTTGTGAAGCCGAGCTGAGCAGCAGCAGGACACCGGAGTGTTATTAAGGTCACAGTCAGCTCCGTCTGAGTCCACAGGAATAACACCAGGTCGCTTCAGTGCTCCACTTATAATGGCAGGTTGTGGCGAAACAGAGCAGTGGACATATAATTGCAAATGTCACAGATGTTGTAATAAGGCCAAACCCAAAATAACATTTCGGGACAGGCAGTTTGGCGAATCAGCTTACATTTAGCATCATCACTTTTCATGAGCTTGTAAAAGCGCCACAAAGAGAAAAAAAAATGTTTCAGGCAGCATTACATGAAACAGAGCCTTTCATTTTTTTGCAGATAAAAGAAAACGAATCACAAGCACATGGATGTAATTTAAGGGCCAATTATGTCAGAATTGAGTAACTCACACAGATGAAGTGCAACAACATTTTTCCGGTTACTCATGCATTCGTATAAACACGGCACGTGGATGATGTTAGTGATAAAAGAACACCTGCATGACCTTGAAATGCTGCAGGCATCCGTCTTCGCTCTTTGCTCTTCCCTCTTGCGTAACACTCGTACATGGTACGATGGATTCCAGCACCCCCCATTCTTTTCTCGACGGATGGAGCAGTTTCTGGGATGTGCTTCAGGAGGTGTCAGCAGTTTGTTTCAGTCCCATAAAAAGCCCCGAGGGCTCGAGAGGAAGCAGCTGCTGAGAAATGAACATCAGTTAGGAGGACAAGCCTGCTTGAGTTTTGACTTTCCTCCGGGACTGTTCCATTAACACCGCGATAGATTTATGAGCCTCTTGACATTCGTACTCTTTGTTTGGCTGTTAGAGGGAAAGTAAACAAGGTGGAAGTGCAGAGATTTTTAGAAACTCGTTTTTAATGATCTTGTCTCCTCCAACAAAACTCGTGTTTTGCTTGTTTGGGTTGGGTAATGATCCTGTTTTCTTTGAGGAAAAAAGAAAAACACCTTTTAACATTCCAATTACATCTCACCTGCCAAGATAAAACAGTACATATTGTGCCTCGGCACCATTAAAATTCAAGACCTGGCAAGAGATCTGTGTGGATCATTTTGAGAGGTGAGACAAGAGTGGATTCAATTACGTTGATCATGTTTCATTTCACTTTGTTTATCTGTCTTTGGAGAGCACTTTCCTAAACAAGCGCCTCTCTGTGTTGGCTCACGGAGAGAAAAATTCCTTTGCTTTCCAGGGGAACCCTGGGTAACATGACCACCTTTGGAACAAGATAGCACAGATCACTGTCACCTTCTAAGCGAGCGCACGCATCTCCCGCGCCGCAAAGCTTATGTATTCGGCGTTGATGTGCTTGAGCCGTGGCTGTGTGTGTCAGTGGGTTCAGTGTTTTTCATGTGCATGTGTACAGTGTGTGTGTTTAATTTTCCATGCAGTCACTGCCCTTAAGTCTGAGATTTACCAACGGGTCTGGGCCTGCTCTCCTCACTCCCAATTCAGCCTCGTGGGCTGCCAGTAATCCCTTGAGTACTGAGGGAGAGGGGTGGGGCTGGCAGGGTGGGGGTGGACGAGGTGCTCGGAGATAGTAAAAAAAAATAAAAAATTGTTGGTATGGTTTGCATCCCTACAGGTAAAAAAGGTAGTGCCAAGAACGGGGCTTGGCGTCCGGGAAACCCTGTGCTGGGTTAGGCGTCGGTGAAGCCCAGCAGCGCTCGCTGCTCTTCTTCCGTCGGGCCCTCCTCCATCCAGAGTAAACAGGCCACCGCCGCACGCCCAGAAATAGACCACACGCACCTGGCACACGGCACGCTTTTCCACTCTCTCTTTCTCTCTCTCCTGACATTGGACAGTCGCTGCTAAGACCACAAATCCGGTTTTATAGAATTTGCTGAAAGAAGCATGATGTGTGCGCTTGTGCGAGCTGAGGGAGGTACGTATATATCCCCATCAGCAAAGGATTACAGGAGAGTTGTTTATAGGGCAGTTCACCCCGAATTCAAAAACATTTCCTCGTTGCGAGTTTCATGTAGGAACTATTTTCTTTCTACCGAACCAGCTAACCGAATCACCGCGCAGAGGGAGGTAAGATGTAAGCGTTAACAGCGTCCTCCTTGGCCGAGCTGTAACGTTAGCAAGCCGAGTATAGATGCACGTCTCCTTCTGCACAGTGATATCGTTAGCAAGTTCTTCAGAAAAAATATTGTTCCTTCATTAACTACTTTTATGGATTGTACAATGGAACAAGCCAAGTACCATCTAGTTCCATTATACTGGAGAGAATGCAGACATCTCTACAGCCAATATCTCAGAAACTAGGCAACTCACACCAAAACAATCTAGATTGATAAATGGAACTACACATAAGAGAAAAACTGTGTTCTTTCTATTTTGGGGTGAACTGTCTCTTTGAAAAGAAGAGTAGTGTAGGAGGTGTTGCAGTTACACTTCACAGACCCAAAAAAATGCCTAACACTAACAAAATAAAACATTTCATTCATGTTTTCATGTAATGAATAAGACCAAACTGCTGATGATCACATCTACATTACGCTATAGGTGTGTTTGAGCTCATTTCGTAAAATGTTCCCTGCGCTTGCATGCACCAACAAGTGCAACACACACGCACACACACACACCCCTTCACAACACAGCGCTCTGACAAGTGGAAACACCGCATGTGGTTTTATTTTGCTCACAGAAATCTTCCACTCTGACGTGATAATTTAACAACGTTTATTTCAAATTGTTAAAATATGTACAAATGCAAATTTCAAATGGTAAGTGCACTATAAAGTTTTGGGTTGTTTCTTGAGTTGTGCAAAAAGCATCACAATTCAGATGAGTAAAAAAAATTGCCCCTACTTTACTATGAAAAACAAACAGCAAATGTGTGTATTGAGTCAACGGCTTCCCTAAAACCGACACTACAGCCACATCCCCCTTACCCTCACCCTCTAGAGACAACAAGCTGTAAATCCTGAGAGGGACAAAAAAACACGGCGTCATCACTCTTACACCCCCTGATATTACTCATGTTCTCTGACAGCACGGGAGGCTTCATAAGGACAAACTGGCATTACACCTACGAGGACAAAAATAGCATTGTACAAGTCAGGTGGGTTAAAAAAACAAACAAAGAGTAAAACGGTTCGTGTGAAATGCTGCTCTGTTGGCTGAAGGCTCCAGCCTCTCAGTCAGAGGGAGTTTCCCCAGGTCGGACTGTCCCCGCGGCTGTCTGCTGTCCTCTATGGCGCAACTCTCTCCAAAAACACCTGTGGCGTTATCGTCCAGGAAAATCCCCAACAACCACCGCCGTTTTCCACACCTGGGACTTTTAGCACCTTTAAATGTGACCTCATAAGGAAGACAATATGGAAATAACAAAAGTCCCACACAATCATCTGTGAAAAAGAAAGTGTTCTTTCATCAAGGTCATATCCACCTTTTAGTTGGGGGGGGGGGGTATTAATCATGTTTTTTTATCCTTTTTCATGTTTCACTTTTATACACTTCTTTACAGATCTGTCCCTCCAACAAATAAATTAATTCATTTTAAGACAGACATTTTTTACTACTGCAAGGGAAAAGTCTATACACATAGAAAATGATATCTTTAATATCTATATGAAGAAGTCCACGGTGTGATGTGTGTGATAAAGGTAGAGTTTTTGCAGGAGGAATGGTGGTGACCGCAAAGATCCCGATGACTTCAAATATTTTGTTCCACATTATTCTCGTCCCCTTTACCTCCGTCACATGCTCCCCTCCGTGCTCTTGAACACATCTCAGTGTGTTCGAGGGGCGGGCAGAGCGGTGTGCCATGCCGTATTTTTAGCTACACTTGCAGGACTTCACGATCATATTGGACAGCTGCTCCACCTGAAGGTGAAAAATCAACAGTAATGTGATTAATCATCGGCTAAAGTGTTGCTTTCACATAAAATGTTCTGTAAACATTTCACCCCAGAGTGACGGTTACTTGGCCGCGGCATAGATACCTTGTGTTGCCTGCCCACGTAGTAGAGGATTGGCAGTGGCTCCAGTGTCTGGGGAACACAGCAGGGCTGGGCAGAGGCTCCTGGGTTGTGATGCTTGTACAGGGCCAAAATCTGTAAACAATTATATGAAGGGGAAAGACATGAAAACAGAGAACTCGGCTCAGAATTCAGCAACACGAGGTGAAAGCAGCTGTAATAGACTTGGATTTACGGGTTAGAGTTACGAGAGTGCTTTTAGCTAGAATCCAGTTATTATTCACAAAGTGTTGCTTCTTGAACAGTCTTTGTAAATGTAATTTTAAAAAGGTGTTGAATTCGATATTCAGTGCAAAAAATATAGCAGCAAACAGCTATTATCCATTTAAAGATATAGAGTAATGTCGACCTGAGCAGATAAAGGAAGTCGCTCTCCCTCTGAGTGTGTTGTAATCCAAGCTTCTCTTTGCTTTGTTTACTGTACATAGCCGGGCAGACCACATTAGCTAGCTCATGGACGCAGCTCTGCTCTAACGCTGCGGTTACAGGTGATAACGCTGTCCTGACGTATACAGCGTTGTCGTAGTAGTTTAGCACCCACCCTCCGGTTCCCGCTCAGGAAAACATAACACGTCGGCTGCGAGCACTGTTAGCTGCGAGCCGCTGGCTTAGCTTTTGACATTTTAAAAGCCATTGTGTGGCAATGGAAATACTCCGAATATCGTATTTAGGACCTTCAATGTTTGTCAACAAAAACATTTCTTGACTGTTTGATACTATATTTTATGGTAATCCATTCATTAGTTGTTGAGATATTTCAGTCTGGACCAAAGTGGTTTTGATATCAAAGTCCATCCATTCATTATTTTCCACTTATTCGGGGGCTGGGCAGCAGGGGCAGCAGGCTTGACAGGGAATTCTATACGTCCATCTCCCCAGCAACGTTTCCCAGCTCTAACTGGGGAACCCCGAGGTGTTCCCAGAACAGATGAGATATATAATCTCTCCTGAATGTTTTGGGTGTATCCCGGGGCCTTTAATCAGTTGGACGTGCCTGGAAAACCTCTAAGTAAGCCGTACATTAGGGTTCCTGATCAGATGCCCGAACCACCTCAGCCGGACCCTTTTGACACGAAGGAGCAGTTGCTCTACTCCGAGGTCAACAGTTAAAGTGCTATGTTATTTGTATTGGGCCTGCAACTAATGATAACTGTCATTAACATTCATTTGTCATTCATTTGTATGTTATTTTTTGGATTAATTGATTAATTGTATAGTCTATAAAATGTCAGAAAATTGTGACAAAATGACTTCCAAATGTTTTGTGGGGTTTTTGTCCGACCAACAACAGAAAAATCTCACATTTGAGAAGCTGGAACCACTGAATGTTTGACTGAAATGTTTAATCATTTATTAGAATTATTCATTTTCTGTTGACCAACTAATTGACGATCAGCTCACCAGTAATTTAAACCCCCTAACAAGCCGTGACTCTAACACAGACTTCACCACTTGATGTGTTCCACACTACTGGTGGGGGAATCAAAACAGTCCTTTAGTTGCCAGAGGGGCAGAAAATCAAGTAGTCAGAAAGCTTTGGGTCTGAGTTGCCAAACCTTACATGACTGTGGCTTATTCAGCCATGTAAGCAGATGCGCTACAGTGAGGTGTTGCCCCATACCTGAGAATATTTGTTTTCAGCACTCCAGATGTAGGTGCAGGACCCCATGCAGTAATTGGCATTGTAGCCCGTTGGTTTATGTATCCATTTCCAGCCCAGATCTTTCCTGAAGTCGATGTACAAGCTCCGCACGCAGCAGGTCTCCGTCTGGCTGCATAAGAGAAAACGGGGGAACCATCAAATAGTGTGATGATACGGCTTAAAGATATTTGCCTTTAAAAAGGTACATTTTCAGATAGTATTTCTTCAGGGAGTGCAGCTAGTGGCAGTGTGGGCTCCATGGTAGCTCTGACAGCTTGGAGTGGTGGAGTAGCTGCAGGGGGCGGGGCTTAGCAAAGGGGCAATTGCTGCTGAGGGCCAGGCCATCGGCCTTGCACGGCAGCTCGGCCTCTTGTGTCAGTGGAATGAGGGGGGCATTGTAAAGTGCTTCATCCTACTGTAACTATCCTAAAATAACAGAACAACATGATATTTGCAGGATCGCTTACGCTGTGCAGGTTTCCTTTGTCTCCGTGGAGCGTTTTTTGCGCGAGGTGAGGTGGCTGCTGCTGTTCTGAGGGATGGACATGGTCAGGATGTAGGGTGGTTGCTTTGTCATAATTTGAAACATTCGTGTGTCTCCCCTATCAGTCTCGATCCCAGAGATCTTAAAGCTGAAGCCACTGTCGACACCTGTCTGGCCGCATTCACAGAACAGCCGAAGTTCGAAACCCTGCTCATCCACTGTTGAGACAGAAATTTACAACAGGGGGACATTTGAAACTGGTTGGTTACTTTATCTGTGAAGGTAAATATCATCTGGAAATTGCACTAGATTGCACGAACTAAACAACTGGACAGAGGTCACAGTGGTACCAGATCAATAAACAAAGCGTGTTTATCTCACCGGTCCCTTTGAGCCAGTTCTGCAGGGTCTCAGTGACATCGAAGGACAGCCATTTGTCTTTCAACTCATTGGTGACGAAGCGGGAAGCGAGGTAGCTGGGCGACGTCCCTGGTACGAGACCCTGGTACAGCTCCACCCGCTGCTTATCAGCTATCGTGGTTTGCTTGATGAGCATCCGTAGCTCGGCGCTGGTCAGCAGGCGGTAATCTCCCACACTTTTCCGTATCTCTGAGATGTTGAAGAACATCGGGATACTTTTGAAGGCCTTGGTGGTCCCTGTGTCGTTTTTTTCTGTGGGGATATATGAAACAAATACTTATTAGGAGATTTCACAAAAAATATTTTGGACAAACAAGTTCAGGCAAGAATTCATCTCGAGTTTTTGGATGCATAAAGGCACAATATGCCATCATGTTAGAGAGAAAACTCATAAGTAACTGACCCTGTCGTATAATTTAATGTCTCAAACAAATCTTATGCACAAAGAAGGGGCCCTAATTTAAATGCGAAATTTAATTCACATAACTTCACAAAAGTTATTTTCTCGAATCTGCCAGTTAAGATTTATTCCAATAGATCGTACAGCACCTGGTTAGCGGCACAAAAACCACAAGCGATGGCTAACATTAACTTTTCTTTGACGCCATCCGCAAAGATAGCAGCGTTATTTTTGACCGAGTTTCAGCAGTTTTCTTGAATTGTTTATGAATTTTTGTCCTGCCATTAGTTTGTAGTTGGTTTTCTATTTATATAACTGATGACTGTGAATTTAGATCGTAGGGATCCAGTAGTAGAAATGATCAGGTCAGGAATTACATATTGGACCATTAAACTACGAATATTTTTTTCTGCATTACACTACATTCATTTACTTTATTATATTTGTACACTGCGCTGCAAAATCTAACCCCCGGGATGTTTGTTACTCTGCTCTTCATAAACAAACTTCAGAATTCCGCACAAACACTCATAAAATGTAAAAGCCAAACTCACAGTGGTACTCACTAATCTTAACTGCAGCCAAACATTCATCTATTCCAGCTGCTGTAAAGTTCACCATAGAGAGCGTTTTGTTTTCTTACAGTATTCCTGCCCATATTTGCAACTTGTATTCCCTGAGGCGGCCCGCATCGTGACAGCGGGAACATTCCCCCTGCAGAGGCTGATGGAAAACAGAGCCAAGCTACTGAAGGCTTTAACGCCATAAATCTACCAGCGTTACATTACAAAAAGGATTAAGTTGGACGGGGACGTGCAAAGATAAGTGGAGGATGGGAGGGAAGAGGATCGAGAGTGAAATGCCATGTAAAAACAGAGTGAGAGAAGGTGTATAAGAGGGGGGGGTGCGAAAGAAAAACAGCAAAGTGAAGAATGCACTCATATGAATATAACTCACAGTTGTGAAGGGGTGGAAGGGTGTGAGCGGGTGTAAGGGGGTGCAGAGAAATTGGAGATGTGTATCAGTGGAGCCTGGGACCTGGCGCAGGCCCAAACCTTCCACTCTGCCTCAGCCTGCCAAAGCCGGGATTCTCTCCACTCAAAGTCCGGGAATTACTCTTTGACAGGAGCAAGAACGCAGCCTGTACTGGGATCTGCCGTGTCACGGCCGCCTGGTGTATCACTTACACAATATCACCATCTGTGTTGTTGCTTAGCTAGTGAGGCCAAAGTGAAACTGAAAAAGAGAGAGAGCTGTCGTGTGCTGGTAAGGGGAAATGAGATGACATTCTGCCGGCCCCACCCAGAGCAAAAGTCAAATGTTTGGTTGGGGGCGCTCGAATTGAAACCCAGAGCGTCACAGACGAAGAGAGAGGCGAACTGGCATTGATGTACCAAGCGACGCCAAGATAACGGAAAGTCTCCGTCTCCGGCTAGTGAAACCGAGATAAATGCGTGACGGGTTGGAGAAGTGTTTACTGAACAGGAAATGAAGTCACTTCCCCTAAATTGGCTGCAGCTTCATCCTCACTTCTACTTTACAATTAAGTCCCCGTCACTAACTGCTCCATCTGATCAACAGAATTTCTGAACCAGGCCTCGCTCTGCCAGGTAGGGGTAAAGACAGCACGCTGGCCTGCGCACTAACAAGGGTGTGGGGGGGATTTGTGTGTTGAATCAGGGCCTATCCGCAGGTAAGCCGGGGGACAGCTGTTGTGACAGGCAGGGAGACAGCTCTGTAATTACCAGTGGGAGGAACCAGATTCCAGCAACAGGCTAAATACCTGCCTCCTTTATATATATACGCTGGGCTCCACCCTCCCACAGCCCACTCGTCAATGTCTAGTTTCCCCCACCACGCCGTCCTGACACCCCCTTGCCACTCTTCTTCATTTACTCTAGGATATAACGAATACTTGGTGAACTAACTGCCCCGCCGAGTGGGGCGCAAAGTGGGCGCTTTCCAAACGGGGTGGGGGGGGGAGTGTTCTCTCTGTTAACGAGCACAATTGGGAGAGGTGAACTTGTGTGGGCCTTCTACGGGGGGATGTGACTGATAATTAACCAAAGGGAATCCAGCCTAATCCGCCACGCAATTACCACGACGGAGGCTAAAACTATTAAGTTCTAAAACGCACACATATATGCATCCCTGTAGGCCGTTTAGGGGAATCAGGAAAGTGTGAGTCGTCCACTGAGAAAGAACCACAAATTGAGGTGACGAATAGGATTTGTTAATGAATGTATAAAAAAGAAAAACTTTTTTTAAATGGCTTTGCTCACACACAGTCGTCTGTCTTTAACTCACAGAAGCTGGATTGTCGCCTACACCCTCCTGTGTGTGTGTGTTTTTTAAAATAATTGCAAAACACTTCTCGCTGGGCCTGCACACGTCCACTCGCACACTTGGCTCTCCCAGTGTGTTTTTTAAGGAGCCGTGCCGAGGGTTAGGACGGTGGATGGCTGTTCTCTGGCATTCCACAGAGGTAGGAAACACATGCTCCCCATGGGCACCGCTTGCACCGGACCTGAGTCACTCGAGATCTCAGTGGCCATCGGCCTTGCCTTCCTTCCTGCCAAGCTGCCCCGTCACAAACACGCTGCAAACACACTGATAATAAGCTCAGGAAACAGAGGAGAGAGAGAGAGAGAGAGAGAGAGAGAGACTGGTAATCATGGGCGGAGAGATATGGGAATGAAGTGGAAAATGGTCAGGGAGAAGGAGATATGATGGAGGACAAGTGACAGGATAAGCAAAGGAGAACCCGATGCTCAAATTACAGGAAACCCCCAATCCCTGAGGGAGGGAGAGAGAGAGAGAGAGAGAGAGAGAGAGAGAGAGAGAGAGAG